ACCCTCGTACACAGCCCTGTCTGACACCTTTATGGATGCCAAACCAGTCCGAGTAGACCCCGTTGATTCTAACACAAGCACTCGAGTCCCTATACAGAGACTTTAATGCCTGTATCAAACCAGCGCTCAACCTAAATGCGTTCAGCGTTTGCCATAACACATCCCTGTCCACTCTGTCATAAGCCTTTTCCAAGTCCATGAACGCACAAAAAACTTTTTGGTTTTTCGCCAAAAACTTCTCCGCGATCATGCGCATGGAAAAGACATGATCTGTACACCCCATTCCCTTTCTAAATCCCGCTTGCACATCCCAAATTTTTTCATCAGTTTCTTTCATAACTCTTTCAATTAGTACCTTAGCATACAGTTTTCCCACAATGCTAAGAAGGCTGATACCACGGTAGTTTTTACAGTCCTGCTGTGACCCTTTTCCCTTATATATTGGGTCTATCACGGCTTTGCACCAGTCTCCCGGTACCCGCTTTAGTTCCCAACATAAATTAAACAAGGTGTACAGCAGGCCTGCCACCAAATCCTCTCCAGCCCTTAGCATTTCGAGTGAAACTCTATCATATCCGGCTGCCTTACCTACTTTCATGCTTTTCATTGCTTTCATTATTTCATCTATACTTATCTCCCTATCTCTTTCATCTTCTTTCGGAATTTCTATTTCATTTAGTTCACACTTCTCCTCACTCATAAATTCGCTTTCAAAATATTCCTTCCATCTCTTTAGACTCAACACTTCATCATTCAGGATACAGCCATTCTCGTCTCGTATCGCATTCAATCTAGGCTGTTTTGAAAGTCCCCTGGTATTTCTTACGAGTTTCCAGAACATTTTAATATTTGCCTGGAAGTTATCCGATATTCTTCTATCATTCCTATCCGTTCTTTCTTGCTTTTTCCTTTCAACTAATTCTTTTACTCTCTTATTTAAACGTTTAAACTCAGCCTTTTTTCTTTCATTCTCATCATTCTTACCGCCAGAATTACCAGCTTTGGTCGCTAGTAAATCTAGCCATGCTCTCTTCTTTGCTTCAACTTCCATACGTACCTCATCATCCCACCATAACGTATTGTCTTTCCTTTCATTCGTTCTCTTACTAACACCACATACTTCGGTAGCTGCATCCACTAAACCTTTCTTAACATTATGCCACACATTCTCCAAGTCTAACTCATTCACACACAACTCATCCAAATTACTTATATTTTCTCTCAGTCTGCATTTGTACTTGTCTTTCACATCTTCATCTTGTAACCTCTCAATTCTTATACGCTGTAACGCAGTGGTAGACACAGATGTCCTATGCCGCCAACGTCTGAATAAACCCCTAATTCGGCATAAGACCAGGTAGTGGTCCGTCCCTACGTTGGACCCCCGGTAAACCCTTGTATCCACCACTGCGCTCCTCATTCTTTCATCCACAGTTATGAAATCTATCATGCTTCTATCATCACCTCTTTCCCAAGTATACATGTGAATCTTCTTATGACGAAAGAAAGTGTTCGTCACAAAAAGATTCCTTTCCACACATATGGTGAGGAGGCTTTCACCATTCTCATTTATACTTTCATCACCAAACGTTCCCAATATCCTTTCATAACCAAGCCTCCTCACCCCAACCCTTCCATTAAAATCTCCTAGCATAATAATATTTTCATTTCCCTTACACTTCATTAACACCATCCTTACCATTTCCCAAAACTGCTCCCGGATATAAGTGGGTTTAGACATGTCTGGGGCGTAGACCCCTAACACAAACAACTTCTTTAAGCCCACTTTCATTCGTATCCATAGCAGTCTTGAGCTTACACATTCATACTCTTTCACACATTGGCCCATTCTTTCTGAAAGGATGATACCTACTCCCTGGCATGCCCGCTCGATCTCGTCTACACCAGACCAGTATGCGGTATACATGCCATGTGCAGTGACATCCTTCCCCTTCCTTTTCGTCTCATTTACACATAATACATCTATTCCTCTATCATACATCATATCGCATACTTCATCCATTTTATCATTCATTGCCCCACATACATTCAACGTAGCCAGACGGGCCTCTGCAATCCACTTTTCGCCTCTCTGGGAGACAGAACGTGACGGGTGGCGAACCTCGTCGCCGAAATCCTACATCTCCATAACATGTCTATTACGCGGTACTAAATATTATGATACCTACAATTAACGTTGTAATTTAACTACTTAATTTGTCTCGCAATATAATATAATATATAGAAGAAGAAAGACGGTCAATACTGATATGAGTGACACGACAATATTTGTTTGGATCAAAACAAAATTTATAATATTGGGAATTTTTTTTAATGTTTTGTTACTTCATGCCTTCAAATATTACTACGCAATGTAATTTACTGTGAATGTATACACTGTGTCCCAGAAAGAATGGATAAGAATGGAAAGAATGGATGGGCGCCTAATAATCAGGCTTTCAAATAAAAATACGAAAAAAATGTATATTCCAAGTGGTGCCAAAAATATGAAAGTTTTCAAAAAACAGCGGCAGTGGTGTACATAAAAGTACAGTAAGTAAAATACTGTATTTTGAATCTTAATCAACGATTGATGTCAATGATGATATAGGTATATGTCTAAGAGTATGGAACACAGTATCTACTTACCATCAGTTAAAATATGTGCTCGCTTGTCGCCCGTATTTTATTAAAAAGTGTCTATCAGTAATATTGAAAAACTGCTTTATATTTTTTTAATTTTTATTTTATATTGATACAGTATTATAACATTATACTTATTGAAAGTTATTTAATTATTTACCACTAGTTTGAAAAATACCTTTGTCCTAGGAAGAACCAGCAAGAAATCCACCGCGATTATATTTTTTAAAATGATAATAACTTTACTATGATTTTGTACAATTTTTATATGAATTTTAATAGAACCAGCGTGGTGGCGATCACCTAATTCCCAGGGATTATTTTAATTCGTGTATTCCTTAATATTATAATAACCCTTTTTGTACAATGTTTTTTTAATATAATATTTTAAGTTGTTTATTGACAAACTTTGAACATTTTCTCGGATTTTGTTGTAAAAGCGTATACTATTGAATGTATACTGTATTGCCCCATAAAAAATTGATTGGTAATTATGTGGGACTCTGACTCTTTATAATTTAAGATATATATACATACAGCCCCTTCTTACAAAACAAATATGGTCTCAATGTCAGTCGTGTTACCCCATAGCAAAATTCCAGTAGACATTATGCTATGAAAGTAACTAAAATAAACTAACCTAGCTGTTTCGACATTGGTGATATTTCAAATTTTTCTTACAGCATATGCTGCCTGACTAATCCTGCTTGGTTATTTAGATATATTATTACATATATAGATTTGTAGATAAAAAAGAGTGGTATCCACAAGACTCAACTCCTCCCTATTTATGAACACATTGGTATTCGAATGTTTCACATTAGTTATTGTAAATTATAATATATTTTGTCTTATTGCCGTTTAAAAGCTAATTATTCGCGTTGAACCAATGTACTAATTTCAATAGAGCATTATTTATATCGTCATAATTAATTGACTACCGTTTGAGTTTGAAAATTAAGGAGGTATCATCAGCAAATAAAACTATTACCTGATTTTCACCTGCAAGATATGATAAGTCGTTAATATAGATGAAGTACAGAAAGGGTCAAGAATAGAGCCCTGAGAAACGCCCGTTGATACTACCGATCCGTGTTTTGCTACTTTTTGCGTATTTTATAAACCATTTTAAATTTTTTTCTCTGTCTGACTGTCCGGGTTAATCTTTAGAATCCCTGAACCGATTATGGTGAAACTTCATAAACAGATAGAGAGTATTAATGCCAGGAGCGATCTTCTAGTATATATAGGTATATTTTAACCGAAATACGTAGTGTTTTTTTTATAAAATCGATAAGCTAATAAAACAGTTTTTGACGATTATCTCATAAAACTATAAAAGATATAAAAACAGGTTTACAACAAAACTTTTTGGTTTGCAACTTTACACCAAAAAGATCATCGCGCTTTTTATCAGTTGGGGGATTCTCCATTACCGGATGTGCTGGTACCCTCTTGGGTTTGTCTATTTTTAAATTCCGCTACCACGTGGCAACCTGCACTAACCGAAAAGCAGAAGCAAAGATCAGTTTTGATGCAAAATCGATTTTATCATATTTTTTATTTAAACGCCCTTTTGCAACAGAACTATAAGTTTTTTGTGTATATGGTGATATGTGAGACCTTTTTTAAGTAAAACAATTGGTGAAACTAAACATTTTGCACAACCGTCTTCAATACGTCCGAATTAATGTATTCGAAGTCAATTAAATACGGATTATTAAAGATAACACAAATACTACTGGTCAGATCTTGATTAAAGGATCACACGAGAAGCAAGCACTAGCTTTCATATAAAAAAAGAATCATCAAAATCGGTTCACTCAGAGAAAAGTTATGAACACATAAAAAGACACACAGTCGAATTGAATACCTCCACCTTGTTGAAGTCGGTAATTAATAGATCTTCAATTTTGATTTAATTTTTTTTTAATTTTCCCTTAGTTTTAAGTGGTTTTTCGTTAATTGATCTACTTGCCCAAAGGCCACTGTTATAGATCTGCTGGTTTATTGTTTAATACCTACGCGGACGAAGACGCGGGTAAAAGCTGGTTATACAAGTACCACTTCTTACAGTTAATCTAAAACTACCTTCGAAATCTCATCAGAAATCAATTGCTACCAGTCATAAGTAACAGTATGAATTTCTTTTTTCAACATTCCCGATATAATAAAAATGTTATTGGTGCCGTCGGGAATCGAACCCGGGTTGCTCGCGTACTGTACATTTTACGGCGAGCGAGCCTGAGCTACACGGCACAGCTCCAAATTACAAGAATAAAATTATTTTGTACTAAAAGCGTTTGCTAATTCCCGTATAATTTTCTTATTATAAAGAAATAAATATTTTCTTACAGGCCGCGAGTCCTGCCTGCACGGAACTAGAAATCATTATTCTTGATTGGCTGGGCAAGTATTTTAGTAATTGTTGGTTAACTATAATTATGTTATCTATATCGTCCCATGGGTGTCGTAAGAGGCGACGAAGGGAAACAGATCAGGTGATGGGCACAGCGTCTTTCTAATAACGGCTAAAAATAGCGGTTATTGTGGTTGCCAACCCGTTTGCCAAGCGTGGCAATTGTGACAAATACCCCCCTATGAGGCAATCTGTAGGGGAGGCCTATGTTTAACAGTGGACTTTAGGCTGTAACGATAACGGTACCTATAGGTTCTATTTAACATTTTCTTGTTAAAGTCGTCGAGTTTTTCTTTTACCAATTGCGTATTATTTTCCTAATTTTTTTTTAACTTTTGAACATTGATAAAAACATAGAATACTATAATACACAATAGAACGGCTGTCAACCTTATTTTGTACCGAGGTTCGGCGTCGCCGGGAGCACACATACAAGCAATTACGTCGTATTATTAGTTAATCACTACTACAAACCCGATTCGCTGTGTTGACAGACGGATTTAATACATATTTATTTGTAAATAGCGTGCAATTTGGCATTTTCTAAATTATTTGCATGCGAAATTTGGAAACGATTGGAACGTCAAAACACATCTCGTGTTGACATTTATACGTGTGAATTGACGTCTTACTGGCTCCGCCCACACCCCCGTTCTATTATGTATGTATTATAGTATTCTAGGAATAAAAATGTCCAAATTATACGCAAGCAACACGAAGTAGGTAAAACGTGTAGAGATGTGTAAATATTTATTTTCGATGAAGTTGATATTGGGCCTAAAGTCTTACTTTCACGCTATCTCTAATTATCTAAGATCTATTTTATATTACATTTTATTAACCATCTTATTATATATTTTACCTATTTCAGGGAAAGCAATTGGTTTGCCTCCAGCCTTCTTAGCTCTTGAAGAAGGAAGCAAAGGCGGCGGTGTTATTGAAGTGAGTAATATACTAGTGTTTATTATTAGAGATGAAACGGATATCCGGTAACTATCCGGTATTTGGCCTATCCGGCCTAAAATTACTATCCATCCGGTATCCGGCCGGATTTAAAAAAACACAAAATATCAAATTTTGTTAAGTACTTCATTTCTCACTTAACGAATAAAATCACTAATCACAAAATTTTCATTTTAAAACTTTTCGTCTTTCTTCACAAACAAGCCCAGCTTCAGAGAAAAGTCCTTCGCTGTAAACACTGCTGTAGGGTGCTGAAAGATAGATCTTGGCAAACTTTGATGGCTATTGTGTAACAATACCTGCCCACCAAATATAAGGGTCACGATCGCGAACAATTTGCACTGGCTTTACTTTTCAGTTCTTGCGATGCACCAAACGGCAATGTTTGGCAGAATATCCAGCGACCGGATATCCGGCTATCTGTTGATAAGCCTGGCTGAATATCCGGTATCCGGTATCTGACCAAACAGCTATCCGTTTCATCTCTATTTATTATCATTGTTAAGGAGACATGTCGAAGCCATGTCATACATGTCGTTGGGTACACGTCGTACTTATTTTGACAAAAAGTTAAATTGTTAACATTTATGCACACAACAAAATGTATGACACGTCTACGATAAAACGAGGGACATATATATGACCATCGTTTTCCCTCGTTTTGTCGGGGTCGTGTAATACTTAGGTATACTGCTGGTAGTCAGGAAAATAGCGATAAAAGTTCATACCGAATATGTTCAATTTAGACAAAACATTCCACTAGTCAAGGAAGAAGCCAACTTCGGTGGGCAATGTTCGAAATATTAATAATACATATTTACATTTCTGTGATTATAACGCATCCTCTCATCCAACGTATTCTTCAAAAACTAAATGCAAAAGCAATAAACATTTTGTCATTGAATCTATTATTACAGTATGTAACAAACAACTTCGTGATAATTTTAGGGACCAATAAATGCACATGTTCCCTACATGTCAGTGAAATTTTTTTGGTCGTTATTAAAGGTATTTTAGTGTTCCAATAACTTACTAAATTCCATCTTATAAAAATATTATTCACATCTGCACTAAGAGAAATTAATAGCGAATAAAAAAATTAAAAACTTTACAAAATTATGGTCAATTTTCTGATTTAATTGTATAATGGATCTTATGGTTTATTAACGGAAGAATTCTTCTAAAAATAATTATCTTAGACTTTTCTATAAGTGTTTTACATTGTAAACTTTAAACATTTCATATATATTATATTTTAATAAAAGTGTATTCTCCAAAACCTCTCAGGGTTCAGCAAGCGAATGCGTACTCGTGTCGATGCTCGCTGCGAGAGCTAATGGTATCAAAAGACTCAAACACCAGTTCCCTACAGTGGACGAAGGTCTTCTTCTGACTAAACTGATTGCATACTGTTCCAAAGAAGCGCATTCTTGTGTTGAAAAGGCAGCCATGATCAGTTTCGTCAAAATGCGTATCTTACAACCCGATGAAAATGGTTCACTTAGAGGAGAAACATTAAAACAAGTAAGTATAACACAAATTAAAATCTTCAACTGTATCTACGTGCTGGATTCTTTCCCATATTTTATTTTGTAACGCATTTCATCTCTTTTATGGCTCATTAAGTATTGTCAACATAGGTTTTGATTTATGTTAACTAAAGCAAACGTTTGCAAATTCGTAAAGGTCAGATTGCATTTATTAATTTTACAAGTCGGCGGAGTACTAATGCGCAGGAACTTTGTGGGAGATCGGGTATAGTTATCAAGTTAAATTACGTAGTAGGGTAATTATGATTTATATTTTATTAATCCTGTAACAAACACAAAAAACTTAGATTTGAGAGATATTTTTGTACGTAATAAATTCAAATTAATAAGCAGGTACTTTTTATTTTAACCAGTCTAAAAATCTTCCAAATACATTGTTACTTGACAGTCAGACAAATAATCCTAGTCGACGCATTTTAAAAAAAAATTACTATGACTAAAAATCTAAATATTTTACTATTTCTTTTTCTAACTCTAACTTAAGGTCACAAATCAAAATTAAGTGTCACATAGTTCCCTGCCAATAGCAATTCGATTGACTAATAAATTATTATGGTAGAATATAATAATAGCACAGTATATGAATTATACTGTGATAATAGGTATAATCAATAAAGAGTTTACATGGTTTAAACAATAAATGCTTCTGCGTTCGCGTAGTGTATATATATATTCTTTGTCTGCGGGGAGATCTTGTGAGAAGAATTCAATCTAGAAATCTGTAAATCATGATATAACAAGGAAATAAACGGGTACGTTATACAGGTTCTGTGGCACGGTGTAGATAATCGGGAGATAATTGAAAAGGCAGGCAACGTCGGGCGTAGGCGTGATATCCCGCAGGCACCGTTGTCGGGCGTTTAATGACTCGCTCGCGGATTCCGGAAATACGTGGCGAGACGAGAGACGATACGACCGCATTGTGTACCACTTTCTATGACGCAAATGCTGGAATTCACAATTCTTCCCTTTTATAAATGAAGGATGCCTTAATTGAGTTCCATTTTGATCCTAAGTATGCAAATACTACTGAAATATGTCGAAATATTTATCACAATATTTTAAGCGAGCAGTTTTTGTATACATTATTTTGTATATTTGTAGTTGTTTTTTCAGGAAACGGCTCTAACTTTAAAAAATGTCGTGTACTGGTAACGTAAATAGAATCGATCAAATCGACTTTTACAAAGCCACGGAACAAAATCACCTCTTGTTTTGTAATGTCGCCTTTTTACAGAATGATTGTACATGACCACCGCTTTCCATGACCAGCTGAAACATCAGAAGAGAGTTACCAGCGTTACCGTTCGGATCTTTAACTAAAGATAAATCTTACTTCAAGAAGTACAGGTCGTTCGTCACTTGCTGGACACAGTGTAGTTTTCTTAGTCAAGACTAAGAAAACTACACTGTGTCCAGCAGTGACGAACAATAGTTTTAGTAATTCTGTCAGACTAAAACTATTTTAAATATTGCCGTGACGAAGGGATCAGTGCTAATCGTACTGTAATCCGTCTGTCAAGGATGGTGAGGGACTACGCCCAGTTGTTATAGACTGAGTATATTAGGTACGACAATGATTAACTTAAACATTTCCTATGATCTATTCAACTTAAGTACTTTCTTATTACTAAAAAAATACAAATAAATTACTGTCGTTTAAAACTGATACAATGACAAAGAGATTGTTCATCATCATTACAGCCCCTCACAAGTCCACTTCTGAACATAGGCCTCCCCCAAGGTACGCTACAAAGCACGGTCCTGAGCCATCGGACCTGAGGATCGCCCCCGTCACTACATCAGATTTGATAGACCGCAAATCCTCGCTAAAGAACACCGATTCCTTCCAAGGATGATTCGCGAGGCTATTGAAATCAAAAAACATCCTAATTTCAATAGAGAAGATGGCTGGGTGCTACCATCTGCTTGGGATCCTATAATAAATAAAATTAAATCCCAACCCAAGCATACAACTGCAAGACTTCAAGATACCATAAGTTCATACTGCATAGATCGGAACAAAAGTTAAATTTTAATCTATGGTAACCGCGGTTAACTATGACATATGGACGTTGAACATCTCAGTCCCGCCCGTGACCATGAGTGCTGTAAAGCGTTCGAAACGTCGGGTAATTAAAAAGTTAAATATACGCGATAAATTCCGTAAAAACTAGTATTATTTCAATGTGTAGTGTTCGCGTAAATATAAGAAATAATAAAACACTTGTCTCTTAGTTTTTCATATACAGCTTTATTAGTAACTTTCAAATAAACTTAATAAAATTAAGTGCTTTCATCCCCTATATTATTATACCCTCCCTGAGGTGGAATTTCCAAAAATCTGAAAGAGATTTTTCTTAGGTTTCAACCTAAATCTCAAATATAAATTTTATCGATCCATCTTTTAAAGGGTAATAAATACTATAAAATTAAAATATTGTTACGAGCTTAGGGTTCGTGACAATAAAAACTGCCGATTGAATTACCAGAGTTAACATTTTAATTACTGAACACCAATTAAAACTTAAAAAACACTAATAATTATTCACACTAATCACTTTTAGTTCACTTTATTTCGCTGCGAAGCATCGCTTGAATCGCCAAATTCAATTCTGCCCCGATCGCTGCTTGCAGCGGCTTTAAATATACCTTTTCCACCGAAACATCCAAAATGTTCCAGCAGATACCGGTCGACTAAATGCAGAGAGTTCGAGAGTGGACCTTTCTAGAAAGCTTAATTCTTCTTTTCGATACTAGATGGCGCTGTTGGTGGAAAGTTCAAGATTGGCATTTTCTAGGAAGCCCCCTGGCTCTGTTCCCCAACACTAGATGGCGCTAGTGCCAGGTATCAGTCATCAACTTAGGCGCGCAACAATATATAAGTATAAAATTTTCTAAAGTTCTAAAATATTGTAATCGGTAATTATCCTAATTTCGTCTCAGGGATAACCTTGACAAAACCACCTTAATAAACCATTTTGGTTTTTTTTACGCCAACTTACTTTTAACAACTTATAGTAGGGTTTTCGAAAAAAAATTTTTTATAGGATAGGGTGGCATACGAGCACACAGTCCACCTGATGGTAAGTGGTTGCTGCGGCCCATAGACATCTACATCTATCCTCGATCACAAATCAAAAAGCAGATCCGTTGTCACCAATGAGGACTAAGATGGAGTGCCTCGTTGCCAGTAAAAAGGGTCTCCGGTTCTCTACACTCACTATACGAAACACAGCAGCATTAATCTACTATTTTACGCCGGTATTCTGTGAGAGCGTATTCCTTCCCTGGTCGATCCGACCCATTCGTGCTACAATTATACTACAAATATAACTGCAGCAGGGCTCTACCACGTATAAATAATATATACCACGTATAAATAATAAGTATAAAATTAAGAAATGTAAAAGTATTTCGTTATATTTTAATCCAAGTATCCATTATTTTGCTCTTTCAATTACTTATCTTTATTCAAAACGTGGTATGAATCCTTCGTGAGTGCTTTGGTGTGTCCTCTTAGCGGTAGCATTATTTTTGCCTCATTTTAAAGCAAACTAATAACTTGAGGAATCGATCTGGTTCACTATTGGACGCAGTGGAGCGTTTGGTTTATGTATATTTTAGGTAACCCATACAACCTGATGGATGGATACTACCATCTTGCCGTCTACCATCAGCTTGGGATCCTATAATTAATAATATTAAATCTAATAGAGTAAAAATTAATAAAACATGGATGTTTTCTTATTTTAATACAAAAGTATTTTCACCAGTATTGAATAATTGTGATAGCTCTTTTTTTTCCTCAGAATTGAGATGTTTTTTATGTTGAAGTTCTGCACGTCTTTTTAACAATGATATGTGTGTATATGTGTGATATGTCTGACATATGGCTGCCAAACATGGATCTTCAATAGACAAACAAGGAATAAAATACTAACATGTCAACGTGCAATGGAAAAAAGTATCCTAAACCTAAAACTAAAAGATAAATGCAAAAACAATGACATTCGCAAGAAAACGAGAGTGATAGACGCATTACATTACTCTCAAAAATTGAAGTGGAAGTGGGCAGGTCATGAAGCACGATCTACAGATACCGAATGGACTAAACGAGTAACCATGTGGACAGGACCAACAGGCAAACGCAAGCAAGGAAGACCAAAAGAAAGATGGGTTGATGAGATTGAAAAGACAGCAGGAAAAAATTGGTTAAAAATACGTAGCACAGAATCGAAAATAGTGGGAAAAGATGGAGGAGGCCTTTACCCAAAGGGGGGGTCCTTAATTGAAATATATATTTTATTTAATTTTCTAAGCGTACATATAATTGTTGTATTGTAAATATTTTCTATTAAGGAATAAAGAAGCTTTATTATTATTATATTATTATTATTATTTTCACCAGTATTGAAATAAATAAACCCATACTTAAATTATTTTTTCTCCATACAATGTTAAACAACTCTGGGCTCCCCGTAAGGGGATATAAAATGCTGTAATCATTACTTATTTTCACAGAGTATATTCAATAACAGTCACAAAAACCAGTAAAATAAAAAGTTTCGCAGAAACTGTAAAACCCTATTTCACCATCTTATGCGGTTGAATTTTTCAAAATTCCTTCTTTGTGTATGCCTACGTCATAAAAGGTAGCCACTGTTAAAGTTACAGATTTCTATGCTAAGCGGTTTGCGCTGAACGTTTATATATGAGTCACTCACTCAGAACATTCTCTTTTTATCCTCAGAAGTAAAAAGGTATAGGTATGTTTAACGTGTATATCTGCGTGTGCCTGTGGTATCGTAGCTCTCAAAAGGAAGAACCGATTTACATTTAGTTTTTATTTTTTATTTTAATCAACTTGATTTATTCGACAGTGTTCTTAGCTATGATTGAAATGAGAATCCATCAACCCATTTAGTTACGAGGGTACAGTAAAGGGCGACTTTGGAAAACCCCAGCAATATCTCATGGCTTCCGAGACATGGCAGTATAACCATTTCGTTTGCATTTGAATATCTACACCGACGACTGAAAGCAACGTTAAAGGTGCGAGAAGCCATCTGCAAATTCTTCCAACAGGAGATTCCCGTGTACAATAGTGGACGTTTGAGGACTGATAAAAAAAAGATTCCAACACTTTCACCTATTAACAGTAACGCCAACATTTATTTACGGCTTTTAATGCTTACTAATGATTTGTTTTTGTATAATTTACAGGCTATGGAAGAAGATGAAGAAGCAGGTCTCGTTCCATTTTTCGTAGCTACTACTTTAGGAACGACTGCGTGCTGTTCTTTTGACAATTTGACTGAAATAGGGCCCGTAGTACGTAAATTCCCATGCGTATGGCTGCATGTAGACGCGGCGTATGCTGGAAGTGCATTTCTCTGCCCTGAACACAAGTATCACCTAGCTGGAGTCGAATACGCTGATTCTTTTAATACTAATCCAAATAAATTGATGTTGACGAACTTCGACTGTTCTCTGCTGTGGGTCACCAATCGATATCTGCTAACATCTGCCTTGGTAGTGGATCCACTGTACCTTCAACATTGCTACGATCACACTGCAATTGACTATCGACACTGGGGCGTACCATTAAGCCGACGCTTCCGATCCCTAAAGCTGTGGTTTATGCTGAGAAGTTATGGAATTACCGGTTTGCAGAAGTATGTAAGGCGACACTGCGAACTGGCTAAGTACTTTGAGCAGCTTGTTAAAAAAGATGAGAGATTTGAAATCTGCAACCAAGTAAAGGTGAAAATTTATTGCTTATTATCTTATCTTCCTTTTAATCTCGAGAACATGATGTTATTTAATAATTTATTTCTTTACCGGATAGTGGTGGTGTAATAAATGTATATATACTAAGCCCATATCATTTCGTACGAGTGTCGTAAGACGCGACAGAGGGAAACAGGCCAGAAGGAATCAGACGACAGTATCAGCGTATTTCTAATAACAACTAGAAAATATAAAAACTGAAGCTGATTCCTGCCCGTCAAGCGTTATAACTATAGCTATGGCAAGATATCGCCCTCATTAGGAAATCTATGGGAGGTCTTAAGATGAACACAGACAAAACAAAAATCATGTTTAATGTCCATGTCACACCTATGCCTATGGTAGTTGTTGGGAGCACTATGCTCGAAGTTATTGACGAGTACGTTTACCTGGGCCAAATAGTCCGACCAGGTAAGTCCAACTTCGACCGAGAGGTCAATCGACGGATTCAACTCGGCTGAGCAGCGTTCGAGAGATTACGACTCATCTTCTCGTCTCAAAACTTGAAAACGAGATTTTACAACCAGTGCGTGTTGCCTTTAATGACTCGTTGATCAAAGACGTGGTCATTCACTTCGGGCTGTATGACGAAGCTCAAGGTAGATCAGCAAGCTATAGAGAGGGCTATGCTCGGGGTTTCTCTGCGTGATAAACTTAGAAATGAGATTATCCACTGCAGAATCAGAGTAACTGACATAGCCCGACGGATTAGTAAGCTGCAGTAGCAATGAACTGTCCACATATCTTGAAGAACCGACAACCTATGGGGAAGCAAGGTTCTCGAGTGGCAGCCTCATACCGGTAGGCGAATTGTGGGGCAGCCCTCACTAGATTGAGTGACGACCTAGTAAGACATGCAGGAAACCGATGGATGCAGCTGGCTCAAGACCGTGCTCTGTCACATTATTTTGAGAAGGCCTATGTTCAGCAGTGGGTTCGTGAAGGACTGTAATGATGATGATGATGATAAAGTTTGGTTAACCTGATACTGCTGTTCTGGATGGACATTTATGATATACCTTTACAACACTTCTCTTGAATATTAAACTGATTGAATTATTAAATTTCAGTGGATTCTAATATTTATTTGGACTAAACAATAAGGAACATTCTTTTTAGTTTTTATTTAAGTAAGGGTGGTAAATGGGCACGCTGTTCACCTAACGGTAAGCGAATGGATGGACCCCGACATTAATTCTCAATTAAGTATCAAAATACATTACATGCGTTATTATTCCGGAGGAGTAAGATCAATAGCATAGCAACAATGGTGTACATATACTTATAAACCAATGGTTAAAATCTTCGTTTCGTGTTTGCCCGAACCTTGTGATGTCGACAAAGTACAAATGATTGATTAAAAATAAAATTATATAAATTAACAATTGTTCATAGTTGGGATTAGTCTGCTTCCGCCTCTTGGGTGGTCCTGAAGAGACTCCAGAACAAGTCGATGAACTAAACAAGAAATTGTTGACCAATATCAACGCCTCAGGCAAAATGCACATGGTGCCGGCGTCGGTTCGCGACCGCTACGTCATCCGATTTTGCGTGGTTTACCAGCATGCATCACGTGAAGACATAGGTAACTAATTTGAAATATTATATCCCTCAGATTTCTTTTTGAATTTAAATATAAGATGCGCCGAAGTGCTGCGTTAATATTGGACATTTCATACTTAATATTTCACACTTTTACATGTGGCTCAGGACCGGGCTTTCTGGCAACCTATGTGAGCCAAATATTCAGCAGTGGACTTTAAAAGAAATATTTGTTTTTTTTTAAGATGTGATAAATATATAAGATATTTATCACATCTTAACTCGCCAAAATGGATATTTCTAAAGCCATGCATTCCACCAAAACTCGCTATACGGTGTTAACGGGAGACTTCAACGCAAAACTGGGCACAAGAAAGAACAGTGAGCTGAAGGTAGAGAAATTTGGGATAGGTCAACGGAACCCAAGGTGCCAGGAGCTGGCCGACTTCATGGAGAAAGAGGGACTTTTTATGATATTATATGAGGAACTCGCCAAAATGGATATTTCTAAAGCCATGCATTCCTCCAAAACTCGCTATACGGTGTTAACGGGAGACTTCAACGCAAAACTGGGCACAAGAAAGAACAGTGAGCTGAAGGTAGAGAAATTTGGGATAGGTCAACGGAACCCAAGGTGCCAGGAGCTGGCCGACTTCATGGAGAAAGAGGGACTTTTTATGATGAACTCTTTCTTCCAGAAGCGGCCCCACAGAAAGTGGACCTGGTCGAGCCCCGACGGTTCGACAAAAAATGAGATTGACTTTATTATGACGACCAGACGCAAACTATTCAGTGATATCTCAGTGATCGCAAGGGTGAAAACTGGCAGAGATCACCGAATGGTTAGAGGCACACTGAACCTAAACGTTAAATTGGAGAGGTCTCGTCTAATGAAGTCAATGCTCCGTCCCCCTCGTGCTCTAATCCAGAATCCTGAAACCTTTCAACTCGAGTTACGTAACCGCTTTCAGTGCCTAGAAGATTGCAATGTAGTGGACGATATGAATGACAAGCTCGTAGAAACCGACCATGCGGTCGGAGCTAAGTTCTGCAAGACCCACCGCAGAAGAGCACAAAAACTCTACGATCACACTCTTAATCTCATGGCTGTTAGACGGGAGATGAGGCTGCAATCTTCAACAGATTTGACATTTGACAACAGCATACAGGCAATTGAACATACAGATTTCCAAATGCATGCGGCGAGACTTACGCAACTTTAATACTGCTCGTATTGAGGAAGCGACCGAGCGGAACCAGGGCTCCAAAGTTTACCAGAGATCTCTCTGCCAGAAAGAGCCAACTGTCAAAGCTGAAAACTTAGTGTGGCATCATAGTTTCCGGGACACTTGAGATTTTGAGTGAGATTGAGAGGTTCTATGGGCAGCTATACACATCATCGTTGGAGTCACACGCAAGTGTGAGTAACGATCCAAGAGCAAGTCTTATCCGACACTATTCCGATGATATCCCGGACTTCAGTCTGAGCGAGATTAGAATGGCTCTCCAGCACCTAAAAACGGCAGGGCCCCAGGCGAGGATGGAATTACAGTGGAGCTTCTGAAAGCGGGTGGAACACCGGTACTTTAAGTCCTTCAGAAGCTCTTCAATTCTGTCCTCCATGGTAGCACTACTCCGGAGGCGTGGAGCAGAAGTGCGGTGGTCTTGTTCTTTAAGAAAGACGACAACGCTCTCTTGAAGAACTACAGACAGATATCCGTTCTGAGCCGCGTCTACGTGCTGTTTTCGAGAGTCATTATGAATCGTCTCTCACGCAGACTCGACGACTTCCAGCCTCCCGAACAAGCCGGTTTCCGAAAAGGTTTCAGTACCATAGACCACATACATACCCTGCGGCAAATTGTACAGAAAACCGAAGAGTACAATCTGTCACTTTGCCTGGCGTATGTGGACTATGAGAAAGTCTTTGATTCCGTCCAAATTTGGACGGTGCTACAGTCCCTTCAGCGGTGCCAAGTTGACTGTCGGTATATCGAAGTGCTGAAGTGTTTGTACAGTAGGGTTACGATGGCTATCCGAGTACAAAACCAGAGTTCGAAACCTATCCAACTGCAGAGAGGTGTAAGACAGGGTGACGTTATTTCCCCGAAACTCTTCACCGCTGCATTGGAAGACGTTTTCAAGCTACTGGACTGGAAAGGATACGATATTAACATCAATGGCGAGTACATCACTCACCTTCGATTTGCCGACGAGATAATCCTTATGGCAGAATCGCTGGAGGACTTGATCACTATGCTCAACCTCAATGGTGTCTCCCAACGGATAGGTCTTAAGATGAACATAGACAAAACAAAAATCATGTTTATTGTGTCATGTCACATCTATTATATGCCGGTATTTGTTGGGAGCACGCTCGAGCCAAATAGTCCGACTAGGTAAGTCCAACTTCGAGCAAGAGGTCAATCGACGGATTCAACTCGGCTGGGCAGCGTTTGGGAAATTACGACACATTTTCTCGTCAGGTATGCCTCAAACTCTAAAAACTAGATTGCATCACCAGTGCGTGTTGCCAGTGATGACATACGGATTTGAGACGTGGTCCTTCACTGTTGGCCGTATGAGGACGTTCAAGGTCGCTCAGCGAGCTTTGGAGAGGGTTATGCTCGGAGTTTCTCTGGGTGATAAACTCATAAATGAGGATATCCAGAGTAAGGTAAAACCAGAGTGACCGACATAGCCCAACGGATTAGTAAGCTGAAGTGGCAATGGGCCGGCCATATAGCTCGAAAAACCGATAACCGATGGGTAAGAAAGGTTCTCGAGTGGCAGCCTCGTACCGGCAGGCGTAGTGTAGGGCGACCCCCCACTAGATGGAGTGACGACCTGGTAAGACATGCAGGAAGTCGATGGATGCAGGCGTCTCAGGACCGTGCTTTGTGGTATTACTTGGTGGAGGCCTATGTTCAGCAGTGGACTTGTGAAGGGCTGTAATGATGATGATGATGATGAAATATATAAGATAAACGAACAACGACCGATGTTATTTGGATGGTGAAATAACCTACCAGGAAAAAGGGAAAACGTCTGAAAATTATATTATTTATATTATATATTATTATTTATATAAATATTCGACAATGGCAAACACTGGCATTTGACGAAAAAGAGATCACTGGGTAAAGTGTCTAGCCTGGGGATAGCTTATAATACATTAAAATTCTTCAATTTTTGTTTATTAGACATATGCGATATTTTAGCGAGGTGAAAGCAAAACCACAGCCTGTTTAGAGACTAATAACAATGAAAGAAAAATATTTTTTTTATCAGTTAGATGAAACGGAATACTAAAATGTTTTCACACTAAAATTTTTGTACAGAAATAGCATGGGATATAATAACTGAATTTGCTACGGAACTGTTGGAGGGTCCTGATAAGGAAAGGGTAAGATAATTGCAAAATTTATACAATTTAATAATAAATATCAAAAATGTTTGTATGTATACACCAGGTATGGCAAACCCATGACAAGCGTGCCATAGGTTTGTCACACCATCACCACATTCGACAGCAAAAAGTACCTAATTGTACCTACTGTAGACGTGACTTTGAATGACGCGCTAACAGTATATATTGTCGTACAAAAAAAAACTACAGCTTATTTACCATTAAATAATTAGTAGAATGTATTATTAAACTTAGCTGTAAAAAAATCTCCATCACTGAGTATGATTTTCGAATTTTATCGTCACACACATTTGTTAATAACTACCTGATGATAAACTATTTAATAATAATCGGAAGCTATTAATCGCAGGAAATATTATAGTAACATGTGTAGGTAAATATAGTGCCACAAGAGTACGTGCAAACTCTCATTTGTCTTAATCTGTCTGTATTCTCTGTATTATTTTTGCAATTACAGTAAAACTCTATTTGCAAAATAATAACTTTTCACTGTGTGACTCCTTCGCGGTTGTTAGTTGGCAATAAAATTGTGGATTTTCGAAATCCGAAAAAGGTGATTATCAAAATATCTACTTATTTCTGCTATTACATTTGTAGGGCTTCTATTATATCTGACTACTATTTCAGGATTTGAACGAAGAAAGGGCTAAACGCAACCGTGCTGCGTTAGCCCATAAACGTTCCTTCTTCGTGCGTATGGTCAGTGACCCTAAAATCTATAACCCGGCGATCAACAAGACCCCACCGCCAGTGCCCACAACTCCAGGCTCTCCGCCAGCCGCCGCTGCTCCTGACTCACCAGACACTCCTTCAGAAGCTGGTGTTGTACTACCTGCTACTCCGTATGTATTCACATGGTATCTTAGTATCGTAGCCATATGCAAATTTTCTTACTATATGTGTACCTATTCATTTCATTTTTAAGCCATCATTATTCTGCTTTTATAAGTGTTTTACAATATTTTTTCCATATGTTTGATTTATAGTACCTAGTTTAAAGCAACGTTGCAGTACATCGAGACGCAACCACAGGTTCGAATCTTGCACGGATCAAGGACAATTGTTGGTAAAGCCTACAAATATTTGATTTAGGTCTGGATATTTGTCCATGTACAATTTATGTGTGTAAAATAGCAAATAAATGGCTGATGACAGCTCATGTATCAAGTGCAAACTACTTTTCAATTCTATAGATATACTAGTATGTCTGGATATTTACGTTTTCATACATTTCAGGAAACAATCATGGATAAGCTGGCCTCTTGCATTTTTCTTCCAAAGCGTCGACAATGAAAATAACGACCTGCCATTGAGGTGAAGTTTTTTTATGCAATTTTTATTTTGTTGTAATAAGTATGTACAATTTGATGTCTAATTACGTTTAAATGTAACTATAGCCACACCCAGCCTCCAAGGCAATAACTCTAACTAATAAAGGGTTCTTTTTACTTTATAGAGTTATTGCTTAGAATCTTTCATTCATTACAGCATATTAAGTCACTAAAGATATACTTCCCCCACTGTTAGGTCATAAGGGATATTGTCAAAGTCCTCCTAGCTTGGTGGGTTAGCACCCAATTTTTAACCCCCGACGAAAAAGAGGATTAAGAAAGGAATGCTTCGGTGGTTTGGTCATGTAGAAAGAATGAATGAGGAAAGAGTGACAAAACAAATTTATATGGCAGATGTGAACGGCAGAGTCGGGAAGGGACGCCCTAGAAAAAAGTTTATCGACCAAATTGGCGATATTTTGAAAATGGGCCACGTTAAAAGTACCCTTAACCGACGAGCATGTATGCGTAGATATACGGATGTAAAGGAGGCGAAAGAGGTATGTCAGGATCGTGTCAAATGGAAGTCCGTGGTCTCTGCCTACCCCTCTGGGTGATAGGCGTGAGTGTTTATGTATGTTACGATAATTGATAAGTCTGAAAGACGCTCTTGACCTTGTGTATTTTCTCAACAAAGTTTAAAGATTTTACCTTTTCCTCGCCGATTAGCACTTTAACACACTTCAATTCATCACAAGGAACACTATTATCCTCCATTTTCACTAAAATTTTTAAACAAAACATAAATTTTCAACTCGCAATATTCATTCACTAAGTAAACAAACAGAGTAAACATTGAAATGTCAAGAGAACTTGCAAACGTATCGCCCGCGTGCCCCCGCACTCGACAACTTCATACTAAAGCCGGGCTTTTTGGTCCATACTAAAATATGTGGCTTAATTTGCTTTATAAACATTTCTTTTTTTTTTGCGCCCGAAGCAAATATGGGCAACCCTCCGGAAAGCGGGGGAGGGAGGCGGTGAATGCTCACAGCATACCACGCAGCCGGCTGCGTGGTTATGTGGAGACTTTTACCCACTAAACACCGCCTTTATGGATTGGCTTACCGATCTGACGAGAGATCTCTAAGCCGTATACGAACGCGACCCTCCTTGGCAGAAAGGAGGGCGCAAGCGGCGAAAAGCCGCTTAGAAGTGTGCCTAACTAAGGCAGATTAAGGGATGTGTTATGTAGGCTCGGCCTGAGCCGCCAGGAGGCAGTTCAGGTCAGCCGAAAGCTTGTTGAGGGGGTCCGAGAGAGAGTTTCTCGGTCTGCGCACACTATAGCGAGTGTGGATAGGGGCTGCATAGGCAGCTGTCTCACGAATGAGATGATTTGGGTGGGACTTTGAGGCTTTGAAAAATCTCTCAGAGAGTGATTTAAGGAACTGCTGGATTGTTGGGAGCTCTAAGTCTCGGTGTAGGTCGGCATTACGGACATAATAGGGCGAGTTAGTGGCCCTACGACAGAATAGATTTTGAACTATTTGAAGTTCATTTATAACTTTGGGCTTAGTATGTGCGAAAATAGGGGCCGCGTAGGTCATGACAGGTCGTATGCAGACCTTATATAGGGTTCGCTTGTTGCGGAGGGACATTTTACTGTGTCTGCCCAACATGCTGTTGAGCCTACCCATGTAAAATCGTGCGGTGCGAGTTACCTTCTTGATATGGGGCTCAAAAGTGAGCCTTGCATCATGGGTGACGCCTAAGTATTTGGCTTTTGGCCATGGGACAGGGGTTCCTAACATCCTGATTAGCGGAGTGGCGGTGAGACGGCGTCGTTTATATTCGAAGCAAACGGCGGAGCTCTTCTCCGGGTTTACGTCGATACGCCATTTTTGGAACTAAGCTCCTAAGTCGTTAACTGACTTTTGGATCTTGTTCCGAATCTGGGACAGTGAGTTGCCTTTAGAGTAAAGAGCTGTGTCATCTGCGAAGAGGGCTAGTTTAACACCATTCGACGGGATAGGGATGTCGTTGGTGAATAGTATATATGGGAGGGGGGCAAGCACAGAGCCTTGAGAGACACCGGCTTTGATTTGACGAGTAGAGGATAGCGTGCCTTCATGTCTAAAACGAAAGGTACGATCCTTCAAATTGGAGGCTACAAGGCGGACGAGGCGGTCAGGGAGTACAATGTGTAGATAAGACCCTCATGCCAGACTCTGTCGAATGCCTTGGCAATGTCGAAAAAGACCGCGATGGTGTTTTGACGACGAGGATAAAAACCGCTGAGGACATATTCCACTATGCGCTGAACTTGCTGGGGGCACGAGTGTTTGGCACGAAACCCGAATTGTTGAGGGATGACAAGAGGGTCGCCGTCTGTGGGAAACAAATGGCGCCTCATGCGCACGAGAATAACTCGTTCGAAAAGTTTGCCCGTGGTATTGAGAAGACTGATGGGACGGTGATTGGAGGGGAGGTGGTGAGGCTTGCCTGGCTTGGGAATACCAATGACAGTTGCCTCCGTCCAAGAGGTGGGAATGTAGCTGAATTCGAAGCAGGCGTTGAAGATTATGGCCAATAAGGCGATCACCTGCTCCGGAAAGTATTTGAGGGCTTGGTTGGAGATGCTATCCGCACCCGGTGCTTTTTTGGGCTTAAGTCCTTTAATGGTAGATGAAATCTCATCTTTGGATACAGTGATAGGATCAGAAGCGGTGGGGGGCGAGTTCCGGCGACGGACCTCGTCCTCCACTAGTTGGATATGTAGAGGGTCAGTGGGTTGTGAGCTGGGAGAGCATTGATTGGCGACGCTGTCGGCGAAGCACTCAGCCTTTTCTTCGTCCTCGAAGGCAATAGAGCCGTCGGGACGAGACAGAGGAGGAGTGTGCGTAATAGCGTCTATCTGGAGGGCTTTCGCCATCTGGTAGTACGCTGTGTGAGAGGGGGGAGATTTTCTCCATGAGATTTCCCCTTTCGAGGTCTCTGAAGTCTTTGAGGCGGTAACGGAGTTTGCGTTGAAGGCGGTGGGCTGCGAGTCTATACTCGGGAGTGGGATCAGCTCAGCTCAGCTCTACGGAGGGCAGCTTTTTTGGCTTTGAGTAGGTTGCTAATATCTAGGGGAAGACTAGTTTTAGCAACCGGGACAACCTTTTCATTCTCTTTAAGAGAGGATGTTACAAGAGAGGTGAGATTTTCGACCGCGGTGTCTATTTTCCCCGTACTGTCGAGTACGTCGGAAGAAAGGGTTATGGGAGGGTCTGGAGAGTCTATAGCCGAGGCTAGAGAATAAACCAACTGGAAGGGCTGAAGCCCTTCCAGTTGGTTTGGAAGTGGGAGTTGGAGTTGGCTGATGGCCAAGAAGGAGGGATACAGGACAGTGGTCGGATCCTAGATCATCGAGAGACTCGATTGCTCTAAGATTAAGGGAGACTCCTTTAACTAGAGCAAAAGTCTAGCACGTCAGGAGCGTAGTTAATGTTGTCAGGATAGTGGGTGACAGTGAGGGGGGCTGTAGACAGTCAGGTCGAGAGACTGAGTGATATTGAGCAGCACCCTGCCACTACTAGTAGTAGTGCGGCAGGTCCATTCAGTATGCTTGGAGTTAAAATCTCCAAACATAATGACTGAGTCGCCTAATGCAAGGATGGCTTCGAAATCACTCTTAACGAGTTCCGCTAGGGATATAGCAAGAGGCTATAATGATAGACTGGTGTCCAGTCATGGCTAATCTAGTGATAGTGGCTTCCATACTGGTAAGCGTTGGAGTGGGGATGTGGGAGCAATGAAGGGACTTTAATAAATGACAGTACCGCCGCCTTTGCGGTCGGGTCTGTCATTACGAAGAAGTGAATAATTTTTAATAGAGGCCTTTAGAGACCTTAGGGCTGAGGTGGGTCTCCTGAAGGAGGAGGAGGTCGGCTTCGCGATCTCGAAGAAATAGCCTAAGCTCTGGGAGGTTATTTCGCAAACCGCGGATATTGAAAGAAACAAGCGACAAACCCTTTGGTTTGATACGACCGTGCGATATGGCAGGAGCAGAGAGCTCCGGCATAGTGTTATTACAACGACCTTAGTAGGTCGATGTGCTCAGCAAGAGCGAGGAGACGGTCCTGAGGGGACTGAGCAGCGCGCAGTTTATGCGCAAGGATAGAGATTTCCCCTATATTGATCGTATTCATAGTGTTAGACACTAGGCTTAGATCATCTACTATAGGGTCTGCCTGCTGCCGCTTTTTGTGGGTCGGCGTGCTGGAGTGGTGGAGCTTTGTGGCTCAGAAGTGGGCGAGGAGCGCGAGGGCAGCCTCTAAAGTTGGTCGGGTGGCCGTTTGTCCGCATAGGACACATGCGGGTGGAGATTCGGCGTTTTTGGGCCGAGGGCACTCTTTCGAGTGATGGGGTTCTAGGCACTTAACGCACCTGAGTGGGGCTGAGCAGTTGGCTGCCGCGTGTCCATAAAGTTGGCAGCGGTGGCACTGCGCTGGGTAACTGCGCCGGTGTGGGGCTTCGACCTTTACACGCGACAGGCCGCACACAGTGCGTACCTCGCGGAAGATGGCCTTCGCCTCCGGCACATTGGTAAGAACGAGGAGGGCGAGGTTAAATCTCTCGCCCCTGCTGCTGTGCATCTTGTGCACAGCCTCTATGGGGAAGCCTCGGGACTTAAGGTCTTCCAGAATGTCCTCGTTTACGAGTTCATATGGAACTCCGCGGAGGACCGCCTTGATTTTTCTTTCTTCGGCGAGAGCATATGTGTGATAGGACACACGCTCGGTCGTGAAGAGACGGGTTATATTTCGGAAGTCTTCTATAGACGCCGGCATTATTTTGATGGCCTCGCCCACATTGGTGGCTTGGTCATATTTGAAACTCTTATCGTAGAGGGTTTTGGACAGCTGTGTAAACTTCGCCTTGTCTCTGAGAAAGACAGGGGGCGGGACTTGGCGTTTAGCCAGTTTTGGAGCGCAGCGGGTTGCTGGCTTGGCGGTAGTGTCTTACGACTGAGAGGGGGCAGCGTTTGAGGCTGCGGAGGTAGGGGCAACGATGGGGGCTGCGGAAGTTGAGGCAGCGGTGGGGGGTGCGCGGGCGGCGGCGGCGGCCGCCGGGGCGGGGGGAGTGCGGGAAGTCGCGGCGCGCTTTGGGCCGCGCTTGGATTTCGCTAGTGAAATGGGATGAGTCGGTGACCGTTCCTTCGGAGTCGGATGTCTCCGGGGAGCCGGTGGAGCTGTGGGCGGTCCTCCTCCGGGAGGAGGAGGTAACGGACGTGTTGTCCGAGTGTTTCATATCGGAGTCGGGGGACGTGAGTCGAGTCTGCGGGGCAGCCGCTTGGGTCGCGAGGAAAGCCGCGACAGCGGACGGGGGGACACATGCCTTAGGAGCAATGGGAGAAAAGGCGTTGACGAGAGCGGTCTCGTTGAATTGGATGGGTCGGCCTGTGGCTTGGACGAATTGGGTGACCACGGCCATAAGTTGGTTCGCGAAATTGCTCATGTCTGTGGCAGACATGTTGATAGACATGATTTGGACGGGGGGGTGACGATTTTAATCTAAGAATATAGAGGTCCCTGTTCTGAGAAGAACAGGGCCTTGGGTGGCAGATGGGGAGGACTGACGTTCTATTCCCAGAATCTGGGGTCCCTATGTTCTGACAAGAACAAGGGCTCGCTCTGAGAAGAGCAAGAGACATTCTTCCAAGAACAGTAACAACAACAAAGTAACAGTATAACAATAATAAAACAATAACAGAAAAAATTAAAAATAACAAATCAACGAAACAATAAAGCAAAGCGCGCTCGAACCTCCCCGCCGAAGCGAGGGAGCAAGAACGATGCGAAAACAAAGGAACTCACCGACAGCCTCTGCTCGGCCGGTGTTAGCCGGGGAGAGCGGGGCGCGCGGGCGAGAGGTTACACTACCGCACGAGGACGGAGCGCGGACTGAATGCACTACCGCTCGGGGGCGGTGCGCAAACGGAACTAATAAACATTTCGTATTTATATTTCATTATAGAACATTTTACTACAGGATAGAAAGGGAGCGATGGTCTTCTCGAAAGTCCGGTAAAAAGTCAACGCGTGCGGGAGAGACGACTAATCACTCAACTCAACTTCTTGCCTTCATTAATTTTCACAATCCTTTGCATGTTTGCTTTGAGACAGAGAGAACACGAATCAGTGTATTTCGAATTGAAAGCAAACTGCCATGTGTTGACGTTACATAATAAGGCTATGAGGTCATTACCTGTGTAGAACAAAGGAGCCCGCGGAAAGTTTGAAACTGTTTAAGAGTTGTTTTATTAGTTGATATTATTGATTGAGCAGTTTGAAAGGGCAAGCCCGGTTTTTCGGCTTCTATGGAAGGTTCGCCACTGACTTTAGATCGTGGTAGAGCTACTATATTATGGTTGTATCACGAATGGGTCGGCTCGACCACTGAAGGACTACGCTCTCGCCAGCGTAAAATAGCAGCTTAATACTGCTGTGTTTCGTATGATGAGTGTAGAGACCCGGAGACCCTTTTTTACTCGAAACGAGGCATTCCATCTTAGTCCTCAGGTGTGACAACGCATCTGCGTTTTGATTCTTAATCAAGGATAAATGAAGATGTCGATGGGCCACAGATCCACTTACCTGTGTGTGACAAACCTGTGGGTCACCTGTGGGTGACAAACGAGCACACACTCCCTGTGTGCTCGTTTGTCACCCATATGCTATATAAAAAAGATGCCCCAAAATTAGATGACTATGTTTTTTTATAAAATCAACAGACTGCAAACCATCGGACAGAAAATGGCTACTGCACTTCAGTCGTCTTGAAACAAAGAAGGCTACGAATGTGTTGCCAATCATTGAGATATAATATGTACTACGTACTAGAGAAGCTATTCCACACAAAAATGTGCACTACTCTGTATCCGCACATGCGCGGGAAACATTAGTCGCGCATGCGCAGTTGATATAAACGCGCGAAAATTGTTATAATAAATAATTGTTTATTTACATTTTAATGTTAATTGAGTACATTTTTTTAATTTTCGTTTATTTTGCATGTGCTAATTTAATATAAAATTATAATTAGCGCCGCTCCGCACTACTGAATATCGAAGCCACAAAACAGGTGTTCGGAATGCCATATCTAGTGCGTAGTACATATATATCGATGTTGCCAATACTAAGACGGAATGTTTCACACGTCACAGCCTGTAATCAAACTGGTTCCCTGTACCCTTTAGAGCGGTTCACTACAATGAAACTAAACTGCGACTTAGTGGCAGAAATAGGTTAAACAGTGGTACTACCCAGACTCAAAAGCAGGAAAAGTCCTACTAAGACTATTTTGACGATTTTCTAAACAGACATATGAAATCTTTGTTGACTGTACCCTATATTAGTAATAATTATTTTGATTATATTTTTTTTTTTGTTTTCTCAGATTTCGACATTTAGATACGATGGTACGTTTGAAAAGCCCGGGCCCTGCAGGGCGGCGGGGCTCCTCGCCTTGCCCGTCTCCTGAACGCCGAGCAGCTTCACCCTCCACGCATTGACCTAGACCTCAGACATTCATCTTTCAGCTAATGTTTCATTCTATATAATAAATATTTTTCTCAGCATCCCAAATTCCCATTGTTTACTTATTTAATCCCTTTATGACTTTTTAATAATCTTAACCTTTTGAGCGCCACGCCAAAAACGCATTACCGTGTCCTGTACGCCAAAGCGAAAAGTAAACAAAAATACCTACAAAAAAGTGTTGTATTTAATCTTGTGCTGTCTTCCACTCTTTATATATATGTACTTTGTACATAAATAAAAAAACAAACAATAACAATAAAATAGTAGTAAACCACAACACTAATCTTCATCGTGATGACGTCACGACTGGACGACAACGGCGTAGCTGACCTTCCTTTTTGAAGCTTTCTAGAGAGATGTGGCCATGTCGCACGTTGTGTACTGATTTCGAAATCCATCATTTAACCAAAATATACAGAGATCGACTCAAAACAAATTATTGTGTCGGGGGCGTAGGCCAAGTGAAGCACAGAAGAAAAGTCTTAAGCTCTTACGACAATGGGGGTTTGATATGGATCAGCATGCTACTAGATGATTTTGAGATTGAGAAAGAAAATCGCACAACACAAAATGAAAAATTGTTCTTCATACCTTAAGTAAAATATAAACATTTATTAATTGTAATTTTTTATTATTAAAATAAAAAAAATCATCATCATCGACGCTTTCCAAAATGCGAATGAGTTCTGAGGAATCGTTCATATTGCACTGCACTACTTTTTCCGCTATTCGTTTATGACGTCATCAGGGTGTCGTCTATCCTTGACCACGGCGCCCAATGAACTGATAATCGATGACGCGCTAGGGATGCGCCAGAGTTGAGATATTAGATTTATTATGCGAAGTTGATTTGATGAAATTTTCTTTTATTTATGTAGCTGATAGTTTTATGTTTCTTACCTTTTGTTTTATTCAAATATCAATAATAACTTAAAAAATAACACGTTTGCGTTTAATTTTGAATAGTTTTCAATAAATCTTACCGCATTTAACTTTTAAATTTAACTTAACGCATTACAACACTAGCGGTCAAACATAGACGACTTTGGCGTGCTGGACATAGTATTTGCTTAGATAAAAATCCATTTATTTAGTTCAATGTTTCTTAGTACTTGTGGCTCTAGGAGACTTGTTTTTTATACTCACATGTTGCTGGGTTATTCTTTTTTGAGGAGTGTAGAATTAAAATACCAGTAATAATTTTCCAATATCTATGTTTCATATTTTTGTGGGCCGGGTTTTTTGTCAACTATAGACGTCGTTGGCGCTCAGGGCTCGTAGGTGCTGGTCCAGTATAGGCGACTTTGGCGCTCAAAAGGTTAATAGAAAACATTGCTAACATTTTGTATTTCATAGGAAAATAAACTTAAAGGAGTTTAGTTTGTAATATTTTATTCACTGATACAGTGCTTAATGAGGTCGCCATCCCATCCCACAGTGTACAAAATATTATTGTTATGCAGGTCCCAAGCTAAGCCTCTTACAAAACCTTTATGCATACTTCCATCTTTATATATATTTCTTATATTTGTATCTTCCGGTATTTCATACACGTTAACAGTTCTGTTGTCACAGCAAACTGCAACTCGACGTGATCTGTAAAAATAAACACTTTGATTAAATTTAAAAAAAAATACTAACGTAAATCCAAATTTTGAGATGCGGATGAGTATTCGCGAGAAGCGCATAAGCGGGTTTAAAAATAGTTTCTTTGTTTAAAGAGAGATCCGTCCATAGTATATAGCATTACCTATATAGTATCATCATAATATGTAGGAGTTACTTATGGCTAAAAGTCATTTAAATTTAATACTCCAATTGAAATAGTTGTGAAATTCAAATTAAATAAAAGTTACTTTTCCAATAGGAGTTATCCTATCGAACAAGCGGTAGGAAAAAAGCTCTTGATCGTCAACTAGTTATTCAAATAATTGAAATCGTCAATTAGTTAACGTTTAACTAATGTCATTTTTTAACGGTTAACTCCAGATTACACAACGCAACTGTCATCAAGTTGTTATTTTAGAAATAATGTGAAATGTTTCCCAACAAAAACTATACTTTGAATAGCATCAATATTACGAGGGTTGTACCAAAAGTAAGGTTCCCAATGAGCTACAGCTTCGAGGGCTAGGCTAAAGCTGAGAACAAATTATCGGACGCGTCCGTCAGCCGCGGCTGACAGACGCGGCTTAGCGGTGTGCACGGTAATCGAGACGGCGTCTTCGGACGCCTCGCTTCGGTCATTCCATAAAGGTTTGTCAATCGAGAAACATGATAAGCAACTACAGCGAGGACGAATCTGTAAAGTTAGCGGCAGCTGTTTTATGTTGTCCTCCTAAAATATAGTGAAAAGGAGTGTTTGGGGGTCCATGATATTTATGTAAAATGATTCGAGTATGTTGAATTTCATACATTGTATCCAGACTTACAAAAATATGATGAACGTTACAAAATGTACTTATGAATTAATTAATTTATAGTGTTGCAGTTTGTGGTTATATAGGCGTTCGTTGCCATGAACACATTCAATTAATTTTTCTTCATCACACATCATGTCGCGAACGCAGTTGGTTTGTTTGTGGCACTCGAAACGTCCGCGGACGCGTCCCGTGTCCCGTTCACACTGTCCGCGGACGCACAAACATCCAGCCGGCCAGATTCTATTCGGACATCTGAACGCTCAAGAGCGACGCAAGGTCATGTCCGCGTCTTACGACCGATAGTTTGCACAGTGTAGTATTAAATGTACGGGCTAGATTTCAATAAGCTGCGTCTGTCAGCCGTGGCTTACGGACGCGTCCGACAATTTGTTCTCAGCTTAAATCCGACAACACAGCCGTGTGCAGTAGTCCCCCCACTCTCGAGCACGCCCGTCCGCGATTCGCTACGTCGCAGTGTTCGCTTGGCAGCCGTTAGAGTTAGAAATGTTAATCGCCGCTCCCGCCATGTGCGAGGCTCGAGCAGTAATCCGGTTTCTCCACGCAAAATGCAACGTGGGTATTTCATTACAACCCCGAAACAAATATACAATCTCTTCAGTGGCGTCACTCTGGTTCACCGCCACCAAAGAAAATCAGACAATCGCAGTCGGCGGGAAAGGTTATGGCGACTGTGTTTAGGGATCGGAAGGGGGTATTCCTCATCGATTTCATGCAACCTGGGACGACAATAAACTCAGAGAGATATTGTGAAACATTAACCAAACTCTGACGAGCGATCCAGAATCGCCGGAGAGGACGACTGACGGAAGGAGTAGTGCTTTTTCACGACAACGACCCCACGTCACTTGTCAAACACAGGAGCTTTTGAAGAAATTTGGGTGGACTGTTGTGCCTCATCCCCCGTACAGCGCGTACTTAGCCCCCAATGATTGTCACCTCTTCCCCAAACTATAGGAATGCATAGGTGGCAAACGCTTCAAGAGCGACGATGAAGTCCGAGCGAGAGAACTCTTCGACTTAGGAATACAAAAGCTGGAGCACCGTCTTCAAACATGTGTTGAAAAAAAATGGAGACTATGTTCAAAAATAGACAACAGTGTAAGCTTTTCAAGGATGTGTAAATTAATAACAATAAACAATGTTTTCTGTTTTTAAAAAATATGGGAACTTGACTTTGGTACAACCCTCGTGGAAAGATTAATAACTTCGGACTATACTAATTACGACCTAAGCTACGCCACAAAAAACTTCCTATATTGCCCGCAACTTGTCGCAAACTTCAAATTAAATCCGCAAACAATATGGCCATCCTTTTTCTACAAGTCATTCTCCCTCACATTCGTGATATCCACCTCGCGATGTGTCAACTAACACGGAGTTGAGGGTCTTGAGTAAATACAATTCGTTTTTTTAGTTCGTTGATTTAACGAATAGTTAATTGCGAAACGTTGATCCACCATTAACAGAAGGATACGCTGAGCAAAAATCAAAGGTTGATTATATAGTTCATTGCTTCAACACCCGTGCCTCCTTCAAACCTAATAAACTTTTCTTCTTAAAGTATACATTAAGTTAAGTATAGAAATTAACATTTAAACTCACCCAGATTGAATTACTATTTGATGAACGGCGGCTGGAAACTCAACTAGCTTTACTGAGACTCCTGGCTTTCTAACATCCACTAGGCTTATCCAACCTGCTTCATCACCAAACAACAAACGGTGTTCATCAATCCATCTTAAACAACGGATGCCACAGTCGTTTTTAATAACATCTGTAATGTAACAAATAGTTAGTAAATAACAAATAGGTGGAGAAACAGAGCAGGTATAAACAATAAATTAAGACAAAAATATTAATAATGATAATCCTTATAACCATTTCAAACACGGCGAAAACTCCCGAATACTGTTAGTCAGTTGAAACTGACAATATAATGCATCAGTGGCATCATTCCTAACGCGGCGTCAAATAACCAGTCATAAAAAACAGCTCTCAAACAAACATTATCTATGGCTAGAATTCAAATAAGTGGTACTCTGGTCTATCACTAATGGCCATATGATGAAGCTCAAGAACACTCAGAGAGCTATTATATATATAGCAGGAAAGGGCTATGCTCAGTTTCTATGCATAAGACTTAGAAATTAATATATCTGATGTAGAACCATAATAACTAACATAATTTAAAGGATCAGTAAGCTAAAATGGTAATGGACTGGCCATAATATAGCTCATAAGCCGGCTACAGGTGACGAAGAATGATTTTGGAATGGCAGCGTCATATGAGTAAGAGAAGTGTAGGCCAACCCCCCACTAGATGGAATTTCGACCTAGTAAGAGTTGCAGGAATTCAATGGATGAAGGTGGCTCAGGACTGTGCTTTGTGGCATTCCTTGGGGAAGGCTTATGTTTAGCAATAGAAGTGTGAATGGATGTAATGATAATGATGATGATGATGACTTTGACAAATTTATAAAATAGACATAATTACAATAAATGTGAGCTTTTGTTTCGAATACTGGCTG